CGGGAGTTGCTGGGCGGCTTTCTTGACGAGGAAGTTGGAGGCGAGGGTGGGGAACCAGATGCAGAATTTGTAGAGGAGGATGGGGACGAGGGTGAACATGAAGCCTGGGGGTGTCAATTTGAGATTGATAGGGGAAGAAAGGGGGACATACGTTTGTAGCGGAGGGTGAACCACTCCGGCGCCCACTTCTCAAACCATACCTGGTCCTTCTGTGGCAGACTCATGATATACGTCGGACTCCTCTGCAACTGCGTCACACTGCCCACACCATTATCCACCATCGCAGGCATCATGGTAATAGTAGTCGCGCCACTACCCACGATAATCATCTTCTTGCCCTTGTAATCCAGATCCTCAGGCCAGAACTGCGGGTGAACAAGCTTGCCCTTGAAGTTGTCGATACCAGGGATATTCGCCTTCAGCGGGGTGTCGTAGTTGTAGTAACCCGTACCAGTGATCAGCCACTTGGTCCAGTACACCACAGTCCTTGGCTCTCTCCCAACATCATTCCCAACCTCGACTTCAAGCCTCCACCGCTGCTCCTCGCTCCTCCAATCCGCCTTCATAACCTTGTGTCTATACCGAATCTTCTTGTCCAGATCGAACTTGTGCGCTGTCTCCTGCAGGTAGCTCATGATGCTCTCGCCGCTCGCAATGGGGTTCTTCGCCCTCCATGGGTAGAACTGGAAGCCCAGCGTATGCAGATCGGAATCCGAGCGTACGCCCGGGTATTTGAATTGCGACCATGTTCCTCCGAGTTCGTGGCGGGCTTCGAGGACGGCGAACTTGGCGTCTGGCAGCGACTCTTGGATGCGGTATGCGGAGTTGATGCCGCTGAGGCCGCTGCCGATTACTAACACATCGAAGTACGAGTCGATCATGGCGGGCCGGTGTGCTGACTGCTGGCGGTGCTTGCGGTGGAGAAAGGGTGCCGGCGCAGGTACGCGACGTGGGGAGGTGGAGAGGTGGCAGGTAAAGTGTACAGTCTCTCAATCGGCTTCGTGACTCGGATCTATGTGAAGCGTCCGACGAATACAAAAGCTATGACAGCAAGTCAGTGGTGGGCAATGGCCAGGGGAGCCGGTGCATGTCGACCTTTGTACCTAACCACCTCAGACCTCAACCTCCGAGGTGGCTCCACCCCCATCGTGCGACGCCACACGTTGCGCACGCTACCCCACCACTAGACAATTCGTCCATCATCTAGTCCATCACGGCCGCCTTTCACCGCCGTGCGATTGGGGGTGTCGTTCGCAACCTTAGTGTTGTTGAAGCGGTAAATACGTCACCGAGTTTTTTGCCGAGGCAGATCCTTAGTTGCTTTTTTTCCGCACGCCGCTCACCTTGCCACAAAAGGAAACATGACTTGTGTGCGACAGGCATGACTCGCTCTGTTGACTCCTTTTGGACCACTATGCGCGAGACAGGTTACGCCTGGTGAGATGCTTGGAGAGTTGATTTGAGAGGCCGAGTCACATGTACCCCGCAGATCATGATCACCAGCTAAGTTGTACTGCCTTATCGGAAACTTTCGTAGGGCTGGACGACGCTACAAGTCCCCAATTCTCGGGAACTCAAGACGTCCGAAGGCCAGATACCTCGGTATGTTCTAGCGAACGGTGCCTGAACACCTCGATGTTCACGAGACAAGGCGCGATGTCAAATAGCGATTGTGGAAAGCACCGAGGCAGGCAGACAGACTGCTAGTGAGAATTCCGAAAGGTTGGTAGACGGAGCAGACGGACGAATCTAATATAAAGACACATTAAGCGAATGCGAAGAGCTGCCATGATCCCACACATTTCCCTATTTACTCCCTTCCAATGATAATCATCTCCCCCTCCGCCCCGCTATCACTAGTCACATACATTCTACCATAGCCATCCTGCGCAATACTCACAGGCCTGAAACATTGCGTAGTTGAGCAGGATTCCACATCCGGATTCCAGAAGATGTCAGCCCAAGCCTGTGTACTATTCACGGACGCTTTTGGTCCGAAGCCGTTGGCGCCTGTGGTGAATGGCACTTCAATGATCTTGTATCCAATCGAAGGGTTGCGGTTCCAAGATCCATGGAGGGTAATGTACATGCTAGTGAAGTTCTTGTTGAAGCTCGCATCAAGGGGTGCGGAGTGCGCCGGAAGAGCAAGACGCGGTGGTATACTGCGGGTCTTACAGGTATCGTCTGTGAAGGTCGCGTTGGGCTCTAGGACAAACTGATCGCCCATCGTGAATGGTTTGTCTGCAATCGATTCCGGGTTGAAGACGGTATAACAGGTGGGGTACCCATACCAGTCTGTGTTCTCTTTGGATGGATCTCCAAGGTAGTTGATCTCATCAGCTGGATTATCGGTATGGATGTCCACGGATATCCCGTCAATAGTGCGATGCAGCTCATCCGAAGAATTCTCGACACCCCAAAGCATGCCATCAGCATCGAATGCTAGACCGACTTCATTGCGGAGCCCATAGCCCATCTGGTACCCACCGGTTGGGTAGTCGTAGCCATCCGTGGGGATAGTGGTTGTATCAAATACTTTGATGCAAGAACGGCCGGTTGCGATATCCGCAGAACCGTAATCGAAGTTGTCGTTCGACCCATGTGAGACGAGAAGGAGATTCGGATATTTTGGTGGAATCGCTAGCGTCCTGGTGACATGCCCCTTACTGTCCATGCCTGTTAAGACTGTTGTTGCGTTCTCAGATACGCTCATGGTGGTTGCATCATATGACCATGAGAACACCGAAGTCGCAGAGCTAGCGAACAGCGTCTTCCCGTCGTGGCTGAGCACAATTCCATGGTTGAGATTCCGTTGAGTGATGACGGTCTTGGTCGAGGTGAGGCAACCGTTTGGCGCAACTTTGTGAGCTGTAATACCCATTCCATTCTGAACGACAAGCAGGTTCCCAGCGTTATCGAATATAAGCCCTCTTGGCTGGGTCAGTCCTCCTGCGACCTTCGTCGCCCTCCATCCTTTCGCTGTGTTGGCAGAAAATGCAAGTTCTGCAACATCAGGACACGACACAGGTATTCCTGTCTGGGTTGGTTGCGGTAATCCCGAAGTGACTGTACTCATGCTCATCGTAGTTGATATTGTGCTGATAGCCGAGCTCGGTACTGGGGTGCTGCTTGATGCTGGTGGAGCATCATTGACGAGATTCGCAGCAACCAACTCGTCGAAGTTCGCATTCTGACCTTGGGTGAGGTCAATTCGGTAGTTTCCAAAAGAATTGTGCACGTTGAAGGTAGATCTGTTGTTCGCCGGTTCAGCAGGTGGTCTACTCGACAAGCCATAGGCGAACTTTTGCGCAGATGCATTCCCGTCGATGGAAACCAGATTGCCGTCCACATCGTGCCATTGGGAGCAGCCCTTGCACCGCACAGTCAGAGTCCAATGGGTAGCGTTGTATCCGGTGCCTTTGATATACGAGTACTCCGCTTCGGCATAAGGCTGTGGTAAGCTCAGTCCGAAGGCCATTCTGGACGAGTAGATGGAGGTGTTCGATGCACTGTTCATCCATCCGACTGTAAGTGGGACATATGGCATCGTCCCACCCCAGCTGAATCCGACCCATCCATTTTTGATAGGCGACACAATTTGCAAGACAGTATCGAAAGGTGCAGCTTTTGACTGGGGTAGAGCGACACCGAAGGTAATGCCATTCGTACCAGTCCACCCGGAATAGCATATCGAGGTTTCCAGATCGCAGTACCGCTTAGTCGTTTGGCCGCATGCTACAATAGCGTCAATTAAGTGAATGAAGTACGTGTGTGTATGGGAGCAAGTACCTGTATGACTGACAGCAACAAGCGTCAATAACAGCCTGCCTACCCTCATCGTCGGCGAAACACGTAGGCTCTACCAGATGATGACGTTATACCGTATCGGAGAGTTCAATCCTGAGGAGGACGCGGCTCGTACCGGACAAAAGATGTGCTCGTTTTTTGTACCAGCATCTCGAAGACTGTGCGGATAGCCGCAAAGCGCTTATGAATATGCGGCACTTCACCCTTCGTCCGATGCTAGGAGACGCAATGCGCATCATACGATGATCGTCGGCTGAGTGTGTTCGTCATCCGCTCATGCGATAAGCTTCTAGAAGGCATTATGATGACCCACAGTACGAACGGCGGTACTTCTTGTTGCGAGTTGGATCCGCTTCCACGTTGGTGGTATATTGCTGCTGCATCCCGCTTGCGGCAGAATGCTCCACGCTCATAATTGCTGTTAGAATTGCATGATGGCGTGTCTTCGCGTGTGCTCTACAAAAGTCTCGGAAAGCGCAGATGCGTAGTTGCCTGGGCCCCCGTTCCTGGTTTTTGAGCCTCAATTCAACCCAGGATTGATCAGGCGTAACCAATCCGTTCCTTACTGGTATGGGACGTACGAACAACCACCACAACTGGAGTTGAAGTAGCCTGGTCCAATAAATTGCACGTTGCGGCGTTGAGCCTCTTGGTGTTGATGCAAATTGAATGGGAATTGCCAGGGCCCGATAGATGAAGTGACACATTTAGCCTTTGACGGCCAGCGGCAGATAGATAGAATCTACCATTACACAAGTACACTTGTATATACTGATATCCAAGATTATAGATGACCTGATACGCGCATTTTTTCGGTCCGGTTTCCGTGGAGACAAAGTAGCGTTCTGAGATTACATCGCGACTGACTCTCGTGCGTTCGGTAGACGTACTTTGTTTGTCGCAACGGGTTCGTCAACGTGAGCGACCGTCCTGCGATACCTGAAGGGATTGGTGAAAGATGAAGCAACGACATATAGGGGTGTTTGGGGATGTGATGAGGCGAAAGGAAGGTGGAGTGAGATGAAGCGAAAGGAAGTCGCGATGGGATGACGCACGGATCCATGGCGAAATGAGGCACGCCCACGCGAACTGCGGAAAGAACCAGCTACCCAACAAGGAGACGATCCCAAGACATGATCAGTAAACCAGTCTAGATTGATAACGATAATCATCAGTCAGAGAAACCGACAATTCTAAATCTTCGCCTTCGCAGGCGCAGTAACCCTCTTCCCATGCACATAACAAATCCCCCTAATCTTCTCCGCCGCCTCCCCCCAAAGCTCATTCCTCAAAACACTATAAACCCCCATCTTGGCCCTCCCCTGCACATCCCTCGCCTTCTTCAGCGCAGCCTCAAGCATAACCTTCGGCTCCGCAATCTCATCCACAATACCATCCTCGTATGCTTCTTTGCCCGTCCAGCGATGCGCCTCAAGCAGCATCTTCCGCGCAATCTGCGGGCGGAGCTTAAGCCGCGGCAGGAACCCGATGCCAGGGAAATGCAAACCGAGGTTTACGGGCGGCATAGAGAAGAAGCCGCGCGAGGAGTTCATGATGCGGTAATCGTGTGCGAGGGCGAAGGGACAGGCGCCGCCGAATGTATGACCCGTCAATAACGCGATAGTGGGGAACGGGTAGTCGAGCAAGGTGGCTAGCAGTGGGAAGAAACCATCGCTGTTGGCGAAAGGATTTCTGTCGCTCTCGTCTAACTCGAGACCTGTACACCAGAACTTCTCGTCGTTTCCTCGCGTTATCACGCAGCCTTCTGAGTCGGCGCCTAGTTCGCGCTCGATGTCGCGGAGTGCGCGTATTATTTCTTGCGCGAAGGCGACGTTTATGCGGTTTTCGGGGGCTTTTGCGAGGGTTATGACGAAGACGCGGTCGTGGCGGGAGACGCGTAGGTTTGTGTATTCGCCCAGTGTCATGGTGTCTAGGGCTTTGGGTATTGCGATTACGACGTCGGTGACGATGCGAGGCTACCCAGATCAAAGTAAATCGTTTAGTAAGATCTACAATGTTAGCTCTCGTGATTTCAAGAGGCTACGCATCGCTTTGCGTGCTCAAGCTGCCAAACTTCATGGTGTTGAAGCCTCGGTAGCCAAATGCGGGGAAAGACCCCGGCCGCAGTCGCGCGTTGCAGTGTGTGCTTTCCGTGTCATTTGCTGACTCGACAGACGGATAGAAACTACTCTCCTCGAATGATATTCGGCCAAAGCAACAGCCGTCGTGGTGGTTGTAGACAACATGTGGGACGGAGACGTAAGGGGTCGAGGCCTGCAGCGCGTAGCAGTTGTGGAGCCCGCCTTGGCCAATTTTTAGATTCCCCTGTCTTTCCACCCGTCGCTACATCATCAGGACAGGGACACACTACGACTCTCTCGTTCCTACGCCTTAGGCTCGACACGCCCTTGCGCTTCTCATCACGATCTTCACATGCGAACCGTAACGTATCGGGTAATGACAGGCCGTACGACGGCAGATGCTGTCGTGTATATTGGAAGCTAAGCTAGCCGAAAGATAGGAAGCAATAAATAGGGTGTAAAAGAAAGCTATCAGCATCTCAGAAAGGTACAAATTGAGCCATCTGCTAGATAGGGACCCGCCAACGTTGTTCCTCTATCAGTATTGCTGATTGGTATACTGCCCTTGCTGCCACTCTCCTCCTCCCATAGACGATCTTGAACCGGCTTCGTACGCACCCCTAAACATTCCATCCGATGGATTTTGCTCATATGATACTGGCGTAGCAGGCTTGGGCATGTGTCCTGGGGGTCCCATAGTGTTTGCACGTTCATGCTGAGTGGTCGGCACAGTATAGGAGCCGGGAGGCCTGCGATGATGCTGCTGGGCATACGAAGGCTGCTCATATGGGCTACTCGGCATAGCTACATGAGAACGTTGTTCGAACGTGTCATGTCGCTCACCGCGATCCATGGCAAGATAACTGTCATCCCCGTTCAAGGTCGAACTTCTGAACTTATCGTACAGCTTGGTCGTTTGGGCGACAGTATCAAAATGCATCTTTCTGAGCTGTTTCTGCATGCCGGGATTGTCATCACCATCGAGATGCGCGAGTGAAGCAGCGATCAGGAATGCGTTCCGGATCTGCCTACCATTCCATCGACCTACGCCAGACTCGGCCGTCTCGTCGAAATGGGTCAGCGCGAATTCGTTGATTTCGCTCTCAAGAATGAATAAGCGATCAGCTGGATCCTGGCGTTGAAGTTCGATGTTCTTGAGTCGAGTGATGTTGTGCTTAAAAATCTGTGTTGTCTGCGGTTTGTTGAGCTGGTTGTATCGCAGATGGAGGTGAACTCGAGACTTGATAGCTTCGTCAAGAACCCCAACTCGATTGGTTGTGAGAAACAACACACCGTTGTAATACTCGAGCATTCGCAGAAACACTGATGCTGATGTGAGTAAAAGTGCCATTGTTTGCAATGTGACTACAGCTTACCGGATACCAAAGCGTTCCTTTGGAGATCACTCCTTTCTCTTTGTGAAATGAAGACTTCGGCTTCATCGAGCAATAGAACACAATCCCAAAGATGGGCCAGGCGAAAGAATTCCTTCAACGACTTCTCGACACCTTCTGGGGTGAAGCCGAGGTCACCACAGGTGATGGGAAATAGCGGCTTCTCGTATTTCTGAGCGACGGCCTCCGCTGTGGCTGTCTTTCCAACACCTGGCTCACCATGTAGGAGGATGACAATGCCTCGACCTTTTCCTCGAATAAGGTCTTGCGAGAGAACTTCTGTCCCTTCTTGTTCGTCCTTCTTCTTTCTGAAGTGCGATTTCAGAAGCGATTCGATGAGTCGTTTGTTCTTGTCCTCGATCTGGAGGTCCGTGAATGCTTCTCCCTCCTTTCCTTGCTGCCTCACGGGCTTGAGATAGCGGGAGTCGATGTGCACGAATTTGCGGTCCCATACAGCGTACGCGAACATTCGGCGTGGCAGAAGCGCCAGATCTTCGCCAGTAGGAGGATCTTGGCTATGCTGCTTTGTCAGAAAGGCATCGCGCTTGATATAAGCGTTGAACTCCAGGTACTCAAACAAACTGTCATCCATGAAACTGTCAGAGCTTTCTCGAACAAAGTCTTTGCGGTCAGAGCCCTTCCATGTGATGATTGAAGTCAGGTCGCTAACCAGTGTTAGCGTGTATGACTGTTCAGTTCGTGTTTTCAGCTCGGGTTTCCACTTCGGGTATACGTTGGAAGCTTCCGTGAAGTCCACCAACACGTCGCTCTCGATATGCTCTGGGCTCTTAATCCTGTCTCCTTTGGCGTCTTCAAGGTCGTCTCCGGCAGGGCTTTTGATGACTGACCATCCGTTATAGAAGCCGTATCGCTTAGTGATGTGTTCCACAAATCTGGACCCATCACCCTCGGCGTGTTTCAGCTTCGTTTCCCGATCTTCTACGAATCGAAGAGGGTAGCACGGCAGCTCCGTAACAGACTTCTTCCCCGGAAATGGATCGAAGTGGATTGGAGTCATCACACAGCCGTATCCCTCTCCATCATAGTCCAAGTAGTACGACTGTACTGACGTGAACTTGTGTACCTTGCAAAGGGAGCAATCGCAGCCGGTCAGCAACTCCTTATTGTAGCCGACGTGAACCCGAAATACCCTGCGGATCTCCTGTGTGGTCGCATTTGCGCTGATCCCTTGTTGGCCAGAATTCGGCACATACACAAGATCACCGGGTTCAAAGAGATAGGTCAGATCCTCGTAGCTTACTTTGGGTACTTCTGGCGCGGTTGCATTATGGAGCTGTTGGCGTACAGGTAGCAGCTGCTTTTCCACAAAGTCAACATAGCATTGAACTTCTTCAAGCGTTTCTTTCTTCAAATACAACGATTCCAGATCGTCTGGATGGTTATTTTTCTCATTGCTCGTGTCTTCATCGTCGGCAACGGAAGCAGACGCCGTGCGCGTCAGCTTGATCCCATCTTGTGAGGTGACATTTGTCTCAGGTGGTACTGATGAGCCTGCAATATTCGTCTCGATGATCTGAAGCTCCTCCTTCATCTTCTCGTGGAAGTGGAGGAGATGACGAAAAGGCTGCAGAAATGTGTGTGGCTTGCCTTCCCAAGTTTTGTCGGCATCACTGAACTTCCCAAGGATCTTCATCACGGCTTTGGAATTGATCCGGACCTGTTGAATCCAATTGCCTCTGCGCACTTCGCTATGGGCTAGGCCGTGCTTTGTGATCGTGGTGGTCGGGTCCGCAGGGAAAGGCGGAGGTTCAGGCATACGTCCAGGGATGTGCATCCTTTTGGCATCCTCATCCTCCATTTGACGTGGAAGTGAATCACCAGCAATCAGCACCTCCAAAGCGTAAACCTCTTCACCACCATCGTATCTGTTCTTGAACTGTTCCCAATTACACTCTCGAACTTGAGGGATGATCCTTTCTGAGTGTGCCACACTGTTCGGCCCTTCTCCAGCAAATCCGTCCCCATCGTCTCCAATGACTGCGTGCGGGCCTTCAAAAAGGTCCACGCTAGGATGAAAAGGCATCGCTGTCGGTGTCTGATTTGTTTTGGAAGTGACTAGCTCTTTGATTGAACTTGTGAGGTCCCCGATACTCCGGTTGATTTGGTCGAGCGACACGGATTCAGATTCAGGCTGTGCAACGATGGCATCGCCCTCTCTGGAATCTTTGTTCGAGACTTCTTCTGGCGTAGCCAGGTCAAATTCGGCGGGGTCGGATACTTGGCGTACGGTGTCCAGGGCTGGATGTTTGAGTTCTTGCTCCACGTTCACCGCCATCGGAGACGCGGTCTCCATCATGTCGTTTGGCGCAAATGGGCTGAAGGTCGATTGCTTGCAACGTGGGTATACGAGACAGGCCTTGGACGGGAAGCAAGGTGTGCAGTAGCGAATAATTGCAAGAATATAACGGCCAGTTTAACAACAAAACGACAAGTAAGACGACAAGATTCTGCTAGGAAGATCGAGAGGCTTCGTTCATGGTACTGGAGGCTGAAGGCGGTTATCCACAACACAAGGCGCCATGCTTGCAGAATATATGTTGACTGCGTGTGGGGCATATGCTTCTCACCCGTAGCAACTGTTATCGATATGTGATTGGAGTTGCCTGAAGGCCACTTCGTCACGAGGAGTGTCCAGTAAGTTCCGGTCAAGGTGCGGCCTGGGAAGAGCCAAGTATAGATCTCGAGACACTGTGGCTAATCCAATAAGCCAAACGCCGCATGGAGGCATTGCGCGAGAAGAATCAGTTTCGATGTGTATCAGAGGTAGTGCGAGGGAATTTGGTGATAGGCTGTGGCATATACCTGTAGGCCAGGTATTGCAGTTGCTGCCGTGTTAGGCTAAGCGAGTGTGGTAGCTGCGAACTGTTTCCTGGAGAAGAGGCTTTCTTACACACCTTCAGGAATGATCGAGCGATACCGATCAGTCCATGAGCTACGCAAAGAATGAAGCTCTTGCCGTTTGCATCGCCGAGAACTCTGGCCACTAGTTGCCATTCCTTGTATCCAACCTTATCGGTGTCAGCCTTGGGCAAGCACACCTTTCGCAGAGCCTTCCATATCCGGCGTTCACACAGCCCAACTGCTGAAGACCGACCTGATAACGGCACATACCTGATTGGCCCTGCTGTAGACTGTCAACCCCCATCTCGCGCGGTAAGATCTGACTCTAAAGTCACCCTCAAGCCTTCGGTTCAAATATCCCGATCCGGCGCTGACATGGCAAATGCAATGTCCGCACTACTATCTGCATTCTACCGACGTTCGACAAACGATATTGGATTAGCTGCACGAAGGCTTCTTTGGTGGGGCGTATTGTATTGGGGCTGAGCAAGTTGGTGTGCTAGCTATTCTCTGAAGGTGTGCGATGTGCAGCTGGCAACGGATTAAAAAAAGAGTTTCGACAACCCTGAGATTCAAGCCCTCACATCGCAGTAATCGGACTCGACAATGAGAAAATTCTCAAACATGCTGTTGCCTCCAAAAGGCGTCAAGGAAGTAATGAATGACGACGACGAAATTAGGACGTTTGAAGCGTTCAAGACAACCACCGGCGGTGCTATGCATTCTGCACTTTCTGTGCCTACCCAATACGACCGTCAACGTGGAGAGTGGAGGACTCTACCGAGCAAGTGAGTTTACAATAGTCGCACCCCAACGCTTGAACAACGAGAAAACTCATACCTGAAAAGCGAGCTTGGAGCTGTTCTCAAAGAGGCCAGTGCAGTGTTCCCTGGATGCAAAACCGAGAGTTGTACCTGGAATGATGTTTTCGAGCAGATCGACGCGTTGAAAGTGGCGTACGACGCCAAAGCTCCAAAAGGGTCCATCCGAAGTTTCATTCGGAACAATAAAGCAGATGCCGCCACACTCAACTCTCTTTGCTTCATAATTCCAGAAGACCATGGCCTTGGTGTCTTGCGTGGAGGATTGTCGTTCATCTTCCAGGTACCCTTGCTCTATATGCGGATTTCTATATTAGCTGATCGTCTATCCAGGCCTGGGAACAACGCATCGAGAATCGAGAGAAGATACTCGAGCTACTCGCAGACGTTGTTGATACTCTCAAAGCGACAGCCGAGATGTATAAGTCATTTCAAGATGACGAACTCAAGGAGAAGACGCGAGATCTCTACGGCGTTATTGTTGATTCCCTGAAATTGCTTATTGAGATGCTGCTTCGGTATCGCAAAGATGAGTCGCGTAAGTTTTGCCCCATTCGATAAGATTCGTCAGCCCCTCAGCTTCAATAGTCTTCCGCCGTATCAAGACACGACTGCCGGACCACGAAGCAGTCGTATTGAAGGAGCTCGATCTTCACATACAGAACGCCAAGGCCGGGGTGAAAAGTCGGATCGACATTTTAAACGCACGAAGACTGCAAGATATCCACAAGGGTACTTCTGCTATCGGTATCGAAGTGCACACAACGCGTTCTCAACTTTGTGAAGTATCGCAGGGTGTCAAGACTGTGATGAAGACATGTCAAGAGTTGAAAGACGAGTACAAACAAGGACGTTTGAGACTGAGCGAGTTACTGTCGACGGTAGCATCCAAGAACGATGTTGCTGCTATAGTTCAGACTGAGTTTTTCAAGTTAGCCTCGGGATTGATGTATCGAACGAGTAAGTTGAGCCCACAGATATGGACCCTGTCGCAAGCTCATTCACCTTTAGGCCAGCCTCTCCAACAAATTGCTAGAACGGAGATTATCGCGGAGGAGGAGCAAAGTCTTGCTCAGCAAACGATCTTGATGACAATCGAAGAGCTTCTGTGGATACTCGGCGTGGACCTCGAATACTAAATTCGCGAGACGGAGCGTATCTTGAGACAGAGCAACTCTTTACGAGCTAAGGGCCTCGGCAAGGCGCGATGGCTGCTCACGACCGCGCAGTTCAAGAACTGGCTTGGTCAGTCGTCCTCCGGAGCACTCCTGGTTGATGGGTACTGCAGAGACGATGGTATCGGAAGGATATCTCCGTTGTCCGTCCTGTGTGCTTCTTTGGCAACCACGCTCGCCCAGACAGGCTCCAGTATAGTCCTGCACTTCTTTTGCAGCAGTCATACCAGGGTTGAACAGGACGTGATCGGCGGACCATCTGGGCTTGTACGCAGCCTCATCACTCAGCTGCTCCTTTATCCTGACTCACCGGACGTCGAGCTAGATCCATTGGAGGAGAATCTCTACAACGCAGTATCGCAATGCGACGTCCCAGCTTTGGTGTATCTGTTCGGGTCGATCGTGGGCAACATGGACGAGTCAAAGACGATCGTTTGCATCATAGACGGCATATCCGATTTCGAGACTCCGCTTCGTGGTTGGGACAAGGAGATCATTGGTGTCGTTGATCAGCTTCAAAACCTGGTACACTGTAAGCGATCTGGTCCAGCGCTCAAGTTGCTCATGACTAGTGCAAACAAAACGCTGAACCTTGGGTCGCTGGTGTATCGCGATCGTGGGGAATTTGTGTCCTTGCGGTCGGGCAATGTCAGCGATAGGCCAGTGCGGGGGTTCGGGTTCGATCGAGACGTCGCGAGAATGTTGATGCCATCGTCGCAGCAAAGTGACTTTTTAGAGCCTGGAGGCTGGGGTGCACAACGAGCGTCGCAGCGTGAATTCGCGTATGTAGGGCGACCACGCTCTTCAGGAAGCAACGTGCCGGGTGGTTGATGGACGTTCTCAATTGCTATGTAGAGGCAATCAAGTGGTGTCGTAGTAGTGTATCTTGTCTAGCAAATCAACAGTATGCTCAAACAGACATATCGCAATGCACGCGATTGGGGATGATCTTGGCATGGTGCGCCCCGGGGGTCGCTCATCTTTGGATTACGCACTAGCGGGCGTCGGCGAAACGTAGCTCCGAAGCGTTCTTGGACTAGTGCCGGATGCAATGCCCTCCGCGTGCCTGTGCCAGTACTCTCATCTCGCCTTGGGCAGCTGACAACGAACGGCAGCAGTACTTTCAAGCCTGACAAGATCTTTTTGTGTTCGCGCTCGTCTCGGAATGAGTCGAATGTAATGATTTTGAGTGGTGTTTTGCGTCCAGCCTGACAGCGGCCTGGCTGCTCTGCTCTGTCTGCCCACGACGACCCGAAGCTGGATCTAGCCAGACTGCCTTTCGCAACAGGTGCCTCCTCCAATTCCTACGGCGAAGAGCACAATGCACGATGTGTATCGAACACCCGCACCGAGCTGCTAGACGAGACAACAATATGGACGAACATCAAGGACGGCAAGTCTATATTTTGGCTGAGCGGCATGGTCGGCACGGGAAAGTCTACGATAGCGCGGACAGTCGCTCAGTCGAGGGCAGCTCGGGGCAAGCTTCTTCTTCAAGAAAGGCGATGGCAAGCGCGGCAATGCCTCACGGCTTTTCGAAGCTATTTCCCTGTGCCGCTGCGGAGTACATCATTCGACCAAAACGGCAGCCGTTGCGGTTGGCGTAGACAACATGTGGTATAGAGAGGTAAGGAGTCGAGGCTTGCAGGGCGTGGCGATTGTGGAGCCGCATTGCTACACCATCAGACCAAAGGGATATCTCAAATCTCCCTTTTCCGTGCCTCAGCCTTGGGTCACCCTTGCGCCCACAATTACCCACTCATGCGAACCGTCGCGTATCGGATACTGGCATATTGTACAACGGCAGATGCTGCGATGTGAACTGATCGTCGACGATAGACCTTTTCCTCATTCGTTCCTAGCCTATGGCGACGTACGCTCTACGCCTTTAAATGTTCAGCCTAGTCTGATTACTATCGCGCTAGATCTAGACCTTGCAGGCCGTATCGTGGATATGGGGGAACGCCATACTCAACGCCTAACAGGATTCCACCACGCAGTTGGAGCAACGCCACACAAAGCCCTGTCGTGTGTCACTCAATAGTGGCCTACCCTTTCAGCCACGCTCTACGCGAACTGAGGGCAAAGGGCAAATGGCACAAGGCTACAGTAACGGTATGCGCGATCGATGTAATTCCGCGGCATCCTTCGCACACATCGGTACAATCAATACGTATTGCATGCAGTTGACCGCACATCACCACCCATAGCTGGGCCCCTTACGCTCCTACGAGAAGTTGGCACGCATCCGCGGAGGACTCGGCATCAAGTCATGTCAATTGTAGACAGCCAGTGTGTATCTAGCATTGGATTCATTGGAGAGGCTGAGTATTGGGCTTCACATCACCATCAGCAGGGCGCCCCTTTATTACCCATCAATGGGTGTTGCACGGCATGTTCAACATCACCGTCGAGGTGACCTCAATTCCCGACCGCTCTCTTCAAGTATAAGCTGCAAACGAAGCTGTACCTCACATCACGTACCAAACTCATCCCTCACTTACTCGCGTAGGTAATAGTGTCAATGGACAACTTTTGAGTGTTCCCACGCTCCGATCATAGATATCAAGAATTCCGTTCCGATCAAACACAGCATCATACCCTTACAGCCAACAATGACCGAACAAGACACAATCGCCCTCATCGGCTCCACAGGCTTCCTAGGCCCCTACATCACCGCCTCTCTCCTCCAAAAGCACCCCCGCACCACCATCCTCTGCCTAAACCGCAGTAAAGACGCAGAAAAACGCACCACCTCGTCTCTCACCCACATCAGCAACGAAGACCTTACCCGCCTCACCTTCCTAACAACCGACATCACACTCCCTAACCTCGGTCTATCCCCCACCCAATACACACACTTCACAACTAGCGTCTCAGAAATCGTGTTTAATGCGTGGAACGCAAACTGGGCGACGCCTCTTATCGGCTACTTACCCCTCCTCAACGCTGTTCAATACGTTGTCGAGGCATGTATCGCCAGCCCCATAAACCCACGCGTAACCTTCATCTCCACCAACTGCTCGATAATGAACCACCCAACCCAGCACCCTTCCACCCCGCTCATCCCCGAAGTCCCCTCCTGGGACTTCGCCAGCGCAGCGAATACGGGTTATGGTCAGAGTAAATGTCTCGCGGAGCAACTTCTCGCCCGCGCGGGCCAACAGCACGGGTTACGCGTGGCTATTGTACGCGCGGGCCAGATCGGTGGTGCATCATCCGCGATACCCAATGCGCCGCAGTGGCCAATTCAGGGCTGGTTGTGGGTGATTTTCAAGACAAGCCAGAAACTGGGGTATTGGCCCGTAAGGATGAATGCTGTGGATTGGATTCCGGTGGACACCCTCGCGGAAGGCATCGCCAACGTCACCTTATCCCAACAAAGCACATCTGCAGACAATGTCAAGGTTTATAACATGATGCACCCCCGTCCCGCGCCTTGGGCGTTGCTGCAAAAGGTGCTGGTGGAGCGTTTTGGACTCGAGGTTAGGGAATGTAGTCTGCCGCAGTGGTTGGGGATGTTGGACCCGCAGAAGTTCAAGATGCATGCGTTTTTGATGGAGGGGAGGGAGGGGAGGGAAGGTGAGGCGATGGTTTTTAGGAATGAGAATGCGAGGAACATGCTGCCGGAGGTTGAAGATGTTACGGAGGAGTTGGTGGAGAGGTGGTTGATGGGGTGGAGTTTGAGGTTGGGGGAGGTGAGGGCGAGGCTGTGATAGGACAGTGCGTACATGAACAGTTACAGGCATGGTATTAGTGGTATGTTAGAGAAACGATGAGCAGAAACTTTGATACGGTATTCAATGTTGTCATTTCTTAGCGGTGATATAATGTAACCCCGCTATACGGTCCTGCCGTCAAGTGCTCAATATGCACCATCTACAAAGTCTGCTTGCCTCTCGTCTCAATAGGCAGCACCAACATACTGAAGAACGCCGCAATAAACAATCCACCACTGGCGTAAATCGGCGCCTTGGGGTTACTTCCACCCGCCTGGATAGCAACAATAGGCGCGCAAAGACCAGCAACGCGGTTCAAGAAACTGCTCATTCCAGTACCAGTGCCACGGATTGGGGCAGGGAAGACTTCAGGTGTGTATGCGTACAAGACACCGTACATGATGTTCTGGAAGAAAGCCTCGAGACAAGTGAAAGCGAGCTGGAAGTCGGAGTCGGAAGAGATGGTGAAGAGAAAGACGAAGACACCGGTGATGACGGTGGCGATGGCCATTGTGCCCTTGCGGCCGACGTATTTGAGGTCGACGGTGTAGCAGGCGAGGATGGATCCGGGGACTCCGACGATGGCTGTGATGGCGTAGTTGCGGTAGACGATGCTGATGTCATTCTCAACTCCACCACCCGAGTTCTTGAGGTACTGTGGGAGGAAAGCGTTGAACAGCGGGTAGGCCATACCGATAGTCGACCATTGAAACCAGAGTAGAGCAGTGGTAAGACCAATCTTCTTGTCCTGGAAGAGAGTCCTGAAGCGCTTCATCGAGAAACGGCTGAGGGAACGCTTGACAATCTCGAAGACGCTGAGCTTGACATCTTCTCCGGTGACTTCCTGGTCGCCGCCGATTTGGTTGAGGATGTCCTCGGTGAGCCAAGTGTGCGTCTTGTTGTAGTGAGCAATACCGTAGACGGTGGCGACGGCCTCGGCCTGGCGACCGCGAGACAACAGGAACTTGGGTGACTCGTAAAGATGGAAGAGGAAGAAGCGGCAGATGAACATGAAGAATGTGATGGCGCCGAGAGTCAGGATGAGATATCGCCAGCCCATGTTGTCTTCCATGCGGCATTGTCCGAGGGGAGTACCGTCAGCGCATGAGAAGTTGGGAATGAATGCCCATGCCACTGCGGATCGTTAGTAAATGACTAGTACAGCTAACGTTATCGACTTACGGAGCGAGGCAACCAGGTTACCAACGGGCCAGAAGATGGAAAGGAGAGTGAGGAGGTTTCCCGATGTTTGAGGCAGAAATTCGAGGAACAAAGCGCCGTCAACTGGGAGGTTACCACCGACACCAAGACCAATGCAAGCGTAGAGTGCGCATGTGCCGATCCAGTTAGGCCCGCCGCCGGATGCAAGACCAAAGACACCAGCGAGGAAAAGAGTAAAGTTGAAAGCGAGACGGCGACCGATAATGTCAGAGGCGGTTCCCCAGAAGGAAGCGCCGATGCAGAGACCGAGGAAGAGCGCCAGCGTGGTGTATCTGACTTCCGTCTCGCTGACACCGAACTCAACGCTGAGTTGTGGCAGTGTAAGAGCAACACCCTGTATCTTGGTAAGTCCTGTTGGTTGATGAGGAATTGGACGTGCGCACCTGCAGCCACAAGTTGTCGGCCATCCAACCGCCACCGCAAAGAGCGAAAAGCTGCCATTGGTAGCGGCCCATGCCCATATCCTGCAAGGCTTTGTTGATAACCTTGGACTTGCCTGTGGAAGATCAGTACTGTTTCCCCGTGAAAATTAACGGAGATGATAGGAAAAGCCACACGACGTACGGTCATATGGCGTGTCGTTATCCGAAGCAGCGACCTCTGCTTCAATCTCTGCCTTCAATGCTGCGACTGTCAAGCCATGGTTAACAACACCACTAGATGCATTACTGTCAGGGCGCGTGAGGCCATCTTCTGGTTTGTCGTCTTTGGTCGTTCTCTCTGTTGCAGCGAGGGAGGCGCGTGGGTGGGTGGAAGCTACAGAAGCGCGATGGGTCGAGTCATCAAGAGGCACATGGACGCCGGGAAATTCGTCGACATGATGAGCCTTGAAGGGATTCACAAACATAGTTCGGACCATCTTGGCGTAATGATGGTGGTGGTGCCGCGATGGAGGATGGGTGTGGAGTTGTTGCTTGGGGTTGGCGCAATGGTAAAGAGGGGTGCGATAATGGGGCAGTCGCAATTGGGATGGTGCTGTCCAGGGTCGTCGAATCGTCGGTGTCGCTGTAATCTGGTGGCGTTGTCGTTTATGTGTCGAACCGTCACGGCGTCTTCACCCAAGCAGGATGCTAAAGGCTTGTGAGGCTTGGAAAAGCTTGTATATTGGATATGGCAAGCTTCCGCGACAGCAGGGTCGCAGGAAATTGATGACAAGAGTTACACGAGCTCGGTCCTGGAGGAGGGTCATGGCCCCTCATATACTCCAGCTCTCCCCGGCGCCGCCCCTGTCAAAAAATCTTTTGGAACGGACAGATGGTGTGGAGTCGTTGGTACGGTGCGCCAAGGTAGCGGCATTAAGGCGCGCGGTGACGTAGTGCTTGGTGGACCAAGCATCAGACCCCATCACGTTCCTCTGCCGTTCACTGCAAAGATCATCCCACGTCGCCTCTGTGGTTCGCTCGATCCTATTAGGCTTGGCCTTAGCTAATACCATCGGTCTGGTAAGCTTTGCAGTCTCTCTTCTTGTGCGTGGGTGAGCCTGCAGCAGCGCGCCTGATGGGCGCAATGACAGAACCTTACACGCTGAGCCCTCGATGAACACAACAGCTCACAGACCAGGTGCATCGGTCGACATTGACAGCTACCAGCACAGATCGTCGTTGCTACTACGATGTTGACCTCGCGTCGCGAGGCTGTTCGCTTGTGGCGGACCCGACGAATTTTGCCGCGTGCCGAAACGCGACTAGACTAAAGACGTGCCGATTACGTTTACTTTCGCAGGCTTCGCACACGCGAAATGGCTAAGAAGACCGGCCTCAAATTATCGCCAGACGTTAATCACACCGACAGTAAGCGGGGTGGCTCGAGTGTTCTCGTCGCATGCCCGGATCAGGCATGACGTCCCAGAGATATCAATCTCAGAACGCGCGGGATGCCTTCGACCCCAACATCGATGGGAGATCGACATGCCCTGAATGCGCGGCCTGCCACTGCTAATCTATTGGAAAGACCGAGACCGAAACGCTCGAATTGCAACGAGAAATCTGCCGTTCACTGTGGCAGGTTGTTGGACCCTTGCCCGGCTCCACACCTGCCAACCACTGCAGTAAGTTCACCGGTCTCCTCCGAATGCAACACTTTCCCTGGCAGCACGTGCCGAGTAGGCGCGAAGGTGGGCCTGCCCCAAAGCAAGTCGCATCGACAATGGGCAATGTCACGCGACATGCTCGATTCAAGGATCCAGGACCTTTCTGTTGACCCCGTATCGCCTCGGTACTATAGTGTTACCCGAATGTAACCTACGTACCACATTACTTGGCGAGAGCAAGATCAAGAATCTTTCGGTTCTTCCCACCATGTATCGCCTGGATCTGACACCGACTGCATCTCTCGAGCGACACCACCGGCAAAGCTGCAGGACGGCATGCATGTTACTGAGGAGTGTTTGCGCACTCTGCGCCTGTTGTCGGCATCTTCCTAGTATCAGCCTTACAAAGATACATAAGGTTTGATTCGATCTTTCCATCGCTCCTCACTCCAACTGCTCCAGCCTTGCGTCGAGGCTGCTTCGAGAAGAGATGCGTTTTCATACCAACTGGCAACGGCGAACGTCGTCTCAAATTGGACGAGGTAGTAGCCCTCGTCATTGTGGCTCTATCATGGGTCAGCCTTCCTTCGGGTGACATACACCAGCATCTTCCATCAACAGTGCCATAAACACCACTCAGCAATAGCACGACCATCATTTCTATCATCTGTTACTACCAGCTACCAATATGTGCGGCGCAGAACCTCTCGTCACCCCGAACAGTGCTGAATCTGTCGATGCCTTCTACACGCTACTAGCAGAACGGAAACGTTTTGCAGCATCCCAGTCGGTCGAAACTACGCCCAAATGGCCAGCAGCCCGCAATGATCACTATTGTGACCAAGAGGTGTGTCGGCACGATGTCATCGACCTTTCCTCTCTATGTGAGCCGTCCGACAGCGATAGCGACTGGCAGCCATACATCACGGGTGACAAGACATTCCCCATCATCGGATACGAATCTCCATCGAACAGTGAACAGTCCGTGACGGAGAGCTGCCGTCAATACTTCTCTGATGACGCGGATTAGTACGTTGTTGAGGACGTCCAGATCAGGGAAGTGGCCTGCTAACATCATGTAGCATCGTCCGTCTCCGTTACAACACACCACCCACAGTCTACGATGACCAAGACCATGGAAGCCGTCGAATGTCTTCGATAGACCCCAAATCAAGCATTCGCGTCTTCCGAAAAGACCTTGATAACCTACAGATCAGCAGCGCACAGTCTTTTCTTGACCTAGAAGAGCAGTTTGACAGCCTCTCCTCATCATACAGCACGCTGCGTAGGGACTACCAAGGTTTCGCGGACAAACACAACACACTCCTGGAGATTTCAATGAAGCAGTGCCATGAGCTAGGCAATCAGGCCAAGGTCTTGAAGGAGTTATGCGAGTGGAAGATGCGCACGCAAAACAGCTTCGCTGCGGTACGCGTTCAAGGGCAAGAACCGGAGGTCTTGTATTTTGACACACCGCGTTCGACATCCACGGCGGAGATCGGACTGGACGATCTGAGAGAAACTCCTCTAGTGACGGAGAGTCAGGCTGTTACATCGACATCAGACGGACGAGACTACGGTGTCGGAGCAATACTGCCATCTCCGATCATGCCTCCCACGACGCCTGAGCGACGTGCCACACATCCGCGCTTGATCTTGAGACTATCGGCCAAGCCAAATATGAAGGAGGAAGTCCTGGAATCTCCTAGTGCTTTGGCAACAGACGAGCCGCAACGCCCAAAGCGCGTCAGGAGGCCCACGGAGAAACGCAAGGCCGCTGAGCTGGAGGCCAAGTCGGCAGAGAAAGCGAGGAACCGCCTGAGTTGCACATCAGTCCCGTTCTGATTGCGTGGGTACAACGTATGGTCGATTGTTGACATGGTGTTGAGGGATTGGTTAGACCATCGGTCAAGCATGTTGCAGTGAGTATACCAGCAATAACATCCTTGCTTTTCCCTCACCACGTGCAAAGGAAAAACGAAGTCACTAAACAAAAGCTTGTCTCCCTGCACCGCCACACATGACGATGTTCGCGGCGCCGCGACTTAGGGCCTCCGAAGGTTTTCGGGGTTGAGCCACCCTGCGACACTTAACTTCAACGCTATCCGCCCTTTTCTGAACGTCTAAATCTGCGAAAATTCGTAATGACATTTTGTGTGTGCCAGATGCAAGGCTATTCCAATCGTCAGCGCGCGGTTCGGATATCGCATTAGGGGCGAGGTATTTTCGAGCGCCAGCGTGAGTAAGACTATGGTATGCTATTACTATATGCTTAGATGTACGTCAAAGAGCTGAAATGTGTGAACGTAGAACAATGGCCCGAAAACCAGGCACGCGACGCGGACTGCAGTGCGTACGAGCGCAGACAATATCACCATCCAAGCATGATCAAGAGCCATTACCAGTAGCGTTCCAGCCATCCGGCTCTCCCTGCGCGTAAACATCTATATGCAGATCCTGCCAGTCCCAGATCTGCTCCATGCCACCCATATCGACTGCAGCTGGATCGCCGACCGTGCCAAAGGGATTTTGAGCGAGAAACTGATCGATGTCGAAGGACAGCTCATCCGAGATGGTCATCGACGGAAGATCAGCAGCACTGGAAACCATCGGCGCAGCAGTCGGCTCCGGTGGCGCTGTGTTCTTCACCGGTGGCATCACCGCTACAGGCGCAGGCTCGTGCGCCGGCACCGGCGGTGTCGTCGTGGGTACCGAGGAAGAAGTCTGTCGTTGTCGCTTGCTAGCCGATGAGTACCGCGAGAGCTCTGGTGTGGCCTGCACGAGCTTGAAGAGGAAGTTGTACGATGTAGCGCCTAGTTTCGTCGTCCCACTGAGTTGATGCAGCATATCTAGCGAGCTTTCGATTGCATCGAAAATTTCCTCGCGATGAGGTAGGAGATGTTCGCGGTCGTGGATAATAGCCGAGCAGAGTAAGGTCGCCGTGTCAAAGATCGCGAACACCACCATGTGGAACTTCGCGTTGATGGGGAACTCGTGGTCGAAGAGCTGACGTGCCACTTTCAGTAGACGCAACGCGATGTCGACGCCTTTCTTCCGGAACTCGTCGTCTTGGTCGGCTATCGCGTCTCGCCGTTCTCGGGTCAGGTAGGGTTTGAAGAAGTTCAGCATCGTCACGAAGATGACGCAATGTAGCTGACAGCGTTGGAACACGAAGAAGGGATGGGACTCATCGAACGATGTGTCGGGGTCTGTGAAGCGGAAAATCGGGGGTAGCTCCTCGATGAACTTTTCGCATTCCGCTTCTATTGCCAAGACCTGCTCGTCCGAGAGGGCGTGTTCAGATTGGGCATTCCCCATGGTAGCGGCGATCCTACGGCCGAGGGTTGCTTGAAGGGCAATGTGTGCGAAGGGTGATAGTAGGTTTGGCTCCGTGGTCGACTTGTCGAGCCGTAGATTGGGGAACTTGAAGTCGAGATTCTTTTGATCGATGAGGTTTGGACGGCCGAGCCATGCTGACATTTGCCTGCGCGAGAGTCAGCTCGTGCTTCAAACATACGCGGATTTGTACTTACCAATCCCAGATGTACAGCAACGTCCAGAGACGTCTTCTGATCTCTATATCGAATTCACACAGGCCTTCGATACCTCCGTCCTTATCGATGCCCAGCTCTTGCGCTTCCCGAATCGTGCGCGAAAGCGCATGCCACGACTCCACGATCTTGGACTCGGCCTTCAACCAAACGCACTTCAAAAACAGCTCTTGCACGCGCTCAACGCTTGTTCTCGCTGCTCCAAAACTCCGGCTTAGCTCTTCTGCTGCGTCGGAGAACCGGTCCGTCAGAGTCTGGCAGTTGCAAGCCAACTCAAACTCAATCATCTTGCGGAGCGCGGGTGTGAGGTACTGCACTGAGTAGGCGCATATCCTCAGGAGCAGGCAGGTGAACTCTGGAGAAAGTTGCTTGCCGGCACCGCGATCTGCCCACCATTGGACATACTGCTCGGCTAATGTTGGCCCGTATATTGCAGTGTAGCGGTAGTTGACGACATTGAGGAAGTGGTTAACAAATGCATCTGCGCATGGTTAGAGAACAGGTCGTTGACATCTCGCGATGTTTGTGCCTACCCGTTATTGATCTTGGCGGAACGGCTGAAAGGACTTTCTCGAGAACATCCGTCGTAACGGAGCTTTCTGTCGGTGAGTCTTTTCGGGGACCGTTCTCGAACGCGTTAGTTGATATCAATGTTTTGAGGGATGGTCTTACCTCTTCCACTCCGCCTACCTTGTAGTGCACATGACCAGGCATGTACCCCCACGCTTTCAGCCCATCTTCGAGCTCTTCTTGCTCGCCATCCTGCGACAGAAATTGCGGCTCTGCAGAGTCAGGAGCGCTTCGTTTTGTGCCTTTGATGCTGGAGGCCGAATTTTCACTGCGCAATCGCTGTTACTACCGCGTTCCGCTAATGGCGGGGTAGGTAGGAGGATCTACATACCGAGACGACTCTGGAGAAGGCTCCTGCTGCCCTCTTTTGACAGAGAATTGGCAAAGATGGGGTACTTTTCGTGCCTGACAGTGATTGCAGGGCCATTCTCGCGAGCACTAGCCGCGTCATTAGTTCAAGGGGTAGATGCAGGGCCAATGTGGAGTGTCGTCACCTTTTGCTTCCTCCGTTGACACTCAGTACAGGACGTCGTCGCGCGACTGTCTTTCAGCGATTGCATGGTCGCCATTACACTTGATTGAAGACCGATCAAGATTGCGTAGTTCAAGGTTTATGAAAGCATGGCGAACGGACGAATCCAACGCTGTTGAGTTGTGGATCGGACCCTAAGACCGACCCCACCAGATCCACAAGAGCCGCCGCGCCACCTTCACGGGCCGAAGTTTTGGAGCCAGCCAGAGCTGACCCTGATTTCTCAGCACGTCATGTGATGTGTGGCGACGCTTTTCCGTACGAGAAACTGTAATGTCTACGCGAGCGGAAACCTCAATTCTGCAGGATCGACGGAACCTCCGACATTGGCACACTTTGCCCAGGCGGCAGTTGATTAAATCGCGCGGCTGTGCCACAATCCGGTGGCTTTGCTGACGAAGGACGCAGCGACAATGTTCGTTCCTTTCGACCTCACTCATACGACTAGTAGTGTCGCCTACACGTCCCTGGCATTAGTTCTACGGATCTGCGCGCATCGTCTAGACCGCGCGAGGCTCGCGAGCGCATTTCGGGGTACCTTCCAGAGTCCCCCGAGGCCGAGCATCCGTGGATGTCACCTGACGACACGGCCCGTCCACGGTCACGCATCGAGAGCCTTTGGGAAAGATTGACATACTGATGGCATGAGTGTAGGTTCAATCACTTTATGGTATCGCGTTGGAACAGTCGCGGTCATGTTGGAAGGCCTCCCTGGTGTTGCCTTCCAAGGTCGGCTAGTTCGCGCATGATGTCATCGCACCTCGGATGCTGCTTGCAGCCTGGCAGCTAATCTCAAACACCACGATATCGGCACATGGTGACATCTAAGGCTAGCAGCTTGAATGGTCTTCAAAATATAACCCAGGTCCAGAATGCCACTTCATCTTTTCCCACAGCAGCGCCTAGGACGCCGCTTTCGACTCCATGGCACGCGCCCTGCCTCTCATACCCTGGTCGAAGACGTCCATCCTTACTTGTCGTATGCATCCGTCTTCCTCTCGAATAGCACAACACGCAGCTCTGGATCTGTTCGTACTTGGATTCCCTCAACAAGCCAACATACTTCTCGATACAATCTATGAACACGGCCTTGACACGACGTTCAGCAGATATGCCGGTCGCATGAGAGTCACCACCGAGAAGCAGCTGCAGGGGGCTTGGTCAGCTAGCGATTCTTTCCCAACATGGGCACACAAACCAGATGTCGCGCTCGCGGAGATCATCAGTGCCACGGGTTTACCCAGGCACATGGCAACGAAAGCAGAAGAAAGGACGCTAAGTAAGGAAGATGTGAACGACGCGCACGAACGCTTGAACGCAAACCCAGATGCTATTTATCAGCCTCCGGGAGAGACTATGACACTTGGCGCGGTGATACAGGTTGCATTGCTTGCAGGCGAAGAGCGTCTAGCTACCAGTTTGATCGAGAACGACATGAAAGACCTATACCAGTACTTGCTGGACAGTTGGGATGATCCCGACATCAGCGGAGACGAGGCCAGAGAATGGATCCAGCGTCGCCAGGGCTTGGAGCATTGTCCAGGCGTCTGGGATATCCTCGCGTCTGCGAAACTGGGGGATATGTTTGATCTGCGTGCGGCAGACGTGGATGCATACGTCAAAGAGGGTTGCGCCCTCTTCAAGCAACGTTCTATCGAAGGCCCTGCGCGCCCGTATCTATCCAAGTCGATCGCCGAGCTAGTGCAGATGATCGAAAACAACATCTTCACCCGACGCAAAGACGACGGTGAAGACGATATCACCTCGGTTCTCAAGCCCGGCGCGTCGGAAGCTCAAATTGCTGCCCTCGAAGCACGTCTCTCCTTGCCTTTGGCCGACGATGACTGTGATGATTACGGTGTCGCACTTCTCAATGGAAAGCTTCCAGATGACTACCAAGAGTTTCTACGCGCAAGCAACGGTATCGGGAAAGATACCTTCTTCGGTGCCGATGACGTCGATCAAACCGGATGCTGGATACTTGACAATGGCTACAATCTATTCCCTTTCCGCTATAAAGATTATCACCAACATGATGAAGACGACGAGCTGGATCTTATTAGGCTAACCGTGTACCCGGAGTTCATCATCGGCACTGGCGAGATCTATGGCACTGTCAGATTTATACCCCCTACCTGGACCAGGCCCTTTGTTGAGAAGTTCGAGAAAGCATATGCGGAGGCAGATGAGTCTAAGAAGAGACTCTATGAGCGTGCAGCTCTAGACATGTATGGTGGTATAGAGCAGCTCAGGGCGACGGAATGGCTGTGTGTCGAGTACCGGCCCTCTAACTTCCAGCACAGGATTTGGGGTGGGCTGAAGCCTTTTCTGGAAGAGTATGTACAGAGAGGGGTCGACGACAGGGAGGAAAGACAGAGACGGGAGAGGAGAGACGCGAAGATTGAGCAGGAAGGCGAGAATAAGAAGACAAAGAAGGAAAGTGGCCATCCCGATGGGGCGAGTGACGATACCGAGTCCCTTCTCACGGCTTAGGATTGGTACTTTGCCATATTGAGGCTGTGCCCCCACTTTCACGCTTCCTGTCAGCCTCGCAGTAGCGCAGTCGCGGCTCACTTGGTTCAAGTAGGCAGCATTGCTGGGAGCGATGATGTTTCGTTCGTTAGCCGGAGATATCGGCAAAAGCCGGTGTGCGCATGATCCTTGGCTGCATGTCAGCACCAGCTTCGCCTATAAAGTGTGCAAATCTTCTGGCAGGTGGACAGGATTTCCCCGCTACTTTCCTGATTTTCGAATGCGCGAAACACGACCCTTCTATCAGTATCATGCCTATGGTCACGAAAGTTGCGCGCATATCATTTAGTAACGCCATCAAGAAGACGAAAAGCCAGTTTTACGACTTTTTGACTCGCTTTTGGGATTTGTAGATGGTGTTCAACAGACCGAGCGATATTCCGCCACCACCACTATGGACGAACAATGGTTACGACTATTCGAAAGGATGGAATTTGGAGACAGTGCAGAGTTGAAACCACTACTCGAGACCTATAGAGGCGATTTCAATCTACAGAATGAAGAAGGCTCCTCTTTATTGCACGAGGCTGTCTGCTGTCGCGCCGAAGCGATCGTGAAAATGTTGACAGAGAAGAAAGATGTCAATATCAACATCCGCGACAAGGGAGGCCGAACTGCACTATGGATGGCCGCCTGTTTAGGCTACAAAGCTGGCGTTGAACTATTGCTAGAGATCGACAGGATAGACCCAGAAGCAAGAGATGACCACGGCCAAACACCTTTGTCTGCTGCGGTGATGATGGGTCGAAGTGGCATCTCACTATCCGCTGCTACAATGGGGCAAGAGAGTGTCGTAGAGATGCTGCTTGCCAGTAGAGGAGTTGCTCCCGACGCAAAAGATGATCGCGGTCTTACACCTCTAGCTTGGGCTTCGCGCGACATGGAGTCGATCAGAATTGTCAAAAGTTTACTCAGCACTGGCAGAGTGGATGTGAACTCTAAGGATGAGCTTGGCATAACACCACTCATGTGGGCCGCGGCATCTTACAACGAGGAAGTCAAAGAGCTCCTGCTCAATAGTGGAAGACTTGACAGAGGTCTAAATCTCGACAGGGGTGCCGGCGACGTCAGCTCTCGATACATCACCCACTGGATAGACTCGTGTGACGCTCAGCACGGAGGACAGTGTCAACCGGCACCCCTTGAGCATAAACTACCTCAGCTGTTGCCGCACTGGGTCATCGATATCAGTCGGGCTTGCTTGGTTCCTGGAAATACTGTATCGCGTTATGTTGCCTTGAGCTACGTATGGTCACGAGGATTTTCTGTCAACGCCAAGGACTACCAGCGTTCATCTGATGGCATATTACTGAAAAAAAAGAACCTTCCAGACTTCAAAACACCTGGATATCTGGAGGGGGTGTTGCAAAAACTCCCAACCCCTGTCAAGGACGCCATAGCGCTAGTTCGCGAGATTGGTGAGATTTACCTGTGGGTTGACTGTTTATGCATTGTTCAGGATGACGAGAAAACTCGTGAGCAGGTTGATCATATGGGCGACATATACTCTGGTGCATATATGAGTATCATAGCGGCAACTCCCCGGGGCACGCTGCACGGGCCTCCTAGCCCCAATCACAGATTCAAAAGGAATGAGAAGGTAGAGGATCTCTACGCCAATCTCCATGAGAGTACGTGGGCCACCAGGGGCTGGACGTTCCAGGAACAGATGCTCTCAAGGAGAGCCGTTATATTCAGCTCTGGTTACATGTTCTGGGAGTGCCAAAAAGGTGTTTGGAGTCCAGACGGACCAAGACCGGAAACGAGCACAGCCAGAAGTGCTTCCTTTACAGTACCACACTACGAGAAAGCAAGACGTATGCTATGCAGCTGCTACCCCGACTTTGACTTATACACAGAAGACAATCAGTCTTTATAACAGTCGCGTCTTTACATACCCGCAAGACGTTTTGCCAGCTTTCTCTGGTATATTGGCCACTCTTGGGCACAGCTTCCCTTACGGGTTTCAATATGGCCTGCCCCGTGTTCATCTGGATATCGCACTTCTATGGCAACCTTTCCGCAAAGCAGATCGTAGGGTAAGAAGGGATCAAGATCCAGGTATTCCAGCGCCAAAAGCGCAGTTGCCCTCATGGTCATGGTGCGGATGGATCTGCCCCGTCGACCCGTACCATCTTCGGACACGATCTTCGTATTTCAAAAAAGACAATCACGCTTCTAAAAGACCCGTTTGGAGAACGCAAAAACTCGTTCAGTGGTACACACTGCCCGAAGATATGCGCTGCGAAATACCAGCGGATAAGCCATTTATCCCCGTTGACGGAGCACCCATGGGCAAAAAAGGTGACATGTCCTTGAGCATATCGGCGACCCAAATTGGAGACAGTGATCGCTATATAACAGAAAATGCGGCGACCTTGCACTCTACGTGTCAAGAAACGGACCCTTCGTCGCTTCTTGGACCCGTACCGCTCAGCGTAAGTCCGCAATACGTCTCCCAGCCTCACGATACCTGGCCTTTTCTTTCATGTCGGACAACTTGTCTATCCTTACACATCAAAGCTGTGTATTCTTCCTACCCCATACGAGCACCCGGTGTAGCTGCAAGGATGGGATTCCCGTCGATTTACAAGCTCCCACAATTCGCAATTGGCCCAACGCGGAAGGATGCCTGCAGCCTAATTTGTCTTGAGAGCCAGGCAAGACTTTCTGCTGGTACGCTACGCCACATGGACGAGGCTGGACTTAAGCTGGGCGATGCAGTGGAGCTCCTAGCTATATCTACCGGAACCATCAACTCTAGTGGTGTTGAAGGTGACGGAGAGGATAAGCTGTATAGGCTTGGAATGTACACACGTGCGGTACATGCAGAGACTTCTGAGTATCTAGGTGAGTACGAGGAGCCTGCTTGCATCCTGTGGGATGCTGAGCTAATAAACAACCAGAAGTCAAGAAGGAGATGAAACTGTATGGAATAGAAGGTCCCGATGGACGGGAGTACCACTTCTACAACGTGCTATGGGTTGAGCGCAAGGAAGGAATAGCATACCGGCGGGCAGCAGGACGCGTACCAAAGGCAATTTGGGATGCAAACTGTACCCCACTAACGAAGATCATCCTCGGTTGATCACGTTCGATCGACTGACTAGAACGCATCTCTGTTCAACCTCTACATCCGCATCACTCTCTCGTATTTGTAATCAAGTCCCTAATCGGGTAGGCGGCATCACATGCGTGGAAACTAACCAGCAAGCTTCGCGCTATGAGCATACGTTCGCAGCTTTAGGAGCTACATACAGATGCAGTAATCGCTTCGACTGCGTTATTCGCTCATTGTTTGGGCGAATTGCAACGATGTCCGTCTCCGGACGAGAGTGCGGAAGTGCCAAAGGCAACAATGTGATGGTGTACAATCAGTGCGTGAGCATTAGAGATTAGACGGTTGGGGGTACAAGAAGGATGCGACTAGAGATCAAACGTGCGTCATGCGTGCGTCTCCGGACGAATTTCAACGGTCTTTGGCAGGACGCGATCATGTTCCCATGTAGGAACAAGAGGTAAGTGGTAAGCCAGCTTGCATTGCCTGCTACTTAAGGAGGTCCATTAATGGCCAAGCAGCCACTCAAATCAGTCCGTCTGTAGAGCAGCTTTCAACATGGTCAAGATATTCGCGTAAGCCTTCCGTCCAGATTATTCCAAAGCGACTTGCTAACCTTTGCGTCAATCATAAAGCGTCGGGGTTACTGGATGGGTTGGCAATGCAAGCGCTCGTGCAATTGCAGCTGCGCATTCCGAATACGAATGGATAGTCCTCCTCCGAAACAAGGCGAAAGAGGAGAGTGTGAAGCGCTTCCTGCCCCAAGGGACACAATTCGTGATCGGAGACTTTGACAGTCACGACGTTATTTCCTCTGCGGCAGCTGCCGCAGACATAGTCATAAATTGGGGCAGTAGCGACCATGAACCGCTGACTAAGTCCATCATCGACGGCATGAAGAAAAACAAATCCACCTGCTACCTCATCCACACCTCAGGATGTGGTATACTGACCGGTGAAGTTGCTAGAACGGGGATCTATGGCCAGGCTACCACCAAGGTCTACGACGACTGGGACAATGCAAGCGACCTCCTCACGCTCCCTCCCGAAGCGCCACACGTGAATATCGACACGATGATCCTGGCGCTCGGCCATGAAGCGCCGCACATCAAGACGATGATCGTCTGCCCGCCGATTATATACGGCATGAGCCACGCTAGGGACACACAGGAGCGCAGCGCAGCACGACAATACGTCCACTCTATCCTAGACCGCAAGAAGGGCTTCGTGGTCGGCGACGGCAAGGCAATCGTCAACACGTTGCACATTACCGATTTAGCAAGCTTCTTCGTCAAGGCTACGGAAGCAGCCGCGCAGGGCGGTGGCGCCGCAACGTGGGGAGGTGTGAACTCGTACTACTTTGTGGAAAGCGGCGAGATGGTCTGGGGCGAATTCGCGCAAGCAGTTAGCAAAGCGGCTTTCGAGAGAGGGCTGCTGGAAACGCTGGATGTGGACTACCTCGGCGCAGAAGAGGCGATGAAGATTGATCCAATTAGCAAGATTGGTTACGGCTCCAGTGCGCGATCTAAGGCTGTCCGCGCTTACAAGACTCCCGACTGGAAGCCGCAGATGCTGGGGATCTATGAGGATTACCTTTCGAACTGGCGGTTCAAGGCGGGCGAACCGCACCTGTTCGTGTAAACAAGTTCTAATTTGTCGGATCTCTTTTGCTGCAATAGCTTAGTGTATCGGCATAGCTGCCGTGGCATTTGTTACGCGCACGTCTACTCCTTGGCTTTGTTGTTTAGTCCTTTAGTTGCGCAAGCGATTAACACGCTCTATGAAGCCGCAGCTAGATACATCTCGAGGCTACGAACAAAAAGAAGTGCACAACAGGGAGCGCGCCATCTTCCCGCGCGATCTGTGTGGGTTTCTCACGATGTCGATGGTGGTTAATGGATTTTGAAGGTGCAAAAAGAAGGCCAAAAACATACAACAGCGGGGATTCGCTAGTGGTCACCCACCTAACTACTAATCCGCCGGTATCATGCTTGTATATGGCTGAGCGGACGGGAAGCCTAATTTTCATGATCCTATGGTCGTATGTGAAGGAACGGGCATTCTGTGTAGTTATTTTGTCATCATTAACATCTCTTTGACGTGTGGCGGTCGAACCGAGCTGTAGCGTGGGCAGCGGCGTTGCGCGCCTGGATTCGGTAGAGTTACCAGTCCGGCTTCTTCGAATAATGTGCCAGCTCACAGGCAATAACGATGCGGGCTTTGAGAAGCAAAAGCACACCGAAGTATAGGGGAGTAGCGATTGAGTTGGGCATGTCGCATGGCGTTCTCGTGGTGCTGGCGACGGTGACTATTTGACTATTGTGTCGGCGCGCAGAAAAGAGAAAAGTGTAGAGTTTCGGTGCAATAGATGAATGAAAGGTGTCTTTACAAATCAGCAAGTATTCGCGCGGCGCAGTCACCCCTGAGTCCCTGATCCTAGGTACGGGATGCCCGCACTACAATCCCTGTTCGCGCCTACACAGAGCGCGCCTTGATGACCTGGATCCTGTATGAATGCCAAATTGTTGCTATTAGTCTAACTAATCAATTAATCAAGCAAGCTACATAACTACGTTTCTGCTACATCCCCGTACCGCTTAACAATCTTCTCAAACACCTCATCCAGCGTCGCCTTCCCCACGCTGTAAAACTCCACATTCAGCTCGTCCTTCGCGCCTTCCAATATCCTGATCAAGTCTGCAAACTCATTACCGTCAGCCGGAATCTCAAATCTGACCTGACCGCCCTGCGTCTCGCGACTAACGTTCGCCAAGGGAAAGGTGACAGCAATCCATTCCTTCATCTTCTGCAGTTCCTGTGGCGAGGTGCAAGGTGCTGAGCGCGACACGAGATGAATGTGATATTCGCTGCCTGCACGCTGCTTCAGGTCTTCGCGGTCGCCAAGAGCGAGCATGCGCGACGAGACAATGCCAATGCGGTCGGCCAGGGCGTCGGCCTCCTCCATTGAGTGCGTCGTGAGTACAACGGCGCGTCGCTTTGCGATGGTTTGCAGGCAGCGCCACATGACGCGCTTTGCATTTGCGTCGAGCGCCGAAGAAGGTTCGTCGAGGACCAGGACACGGGGGTTTCCGACTAGTGCGACAGCCAGAGACAGTTTGCGCTTGGTGCCACCGGAGAGCTTCTGCGCCAATTGATCAGTCCAGTCACTGAGACCGCAGGCTGCAATCACGGTCGACACATTGTGTTCCACGTCCTTGACTCCTCTTATCTTGGCAAAGAAGCGCAGCGTCTCTCGGACCGTGAGAACGTCGGCAGAGTCAAACTGCGGGCACACACCTAGACTGGAGCGTGCTGCAAGGGGACTAGTCAGGATTGGGTTGCCGGCGATGTCGATTACAGATCCTGGTGTTGAGGGTTTAATGTCGCCACGAATCATCGAGATGATGGTCGATTTGCCAGCACCGTTGGGTCCAAGTAGAGCAAAGATCTCCGATGTCTTGACACCGAACGTGACATCATCGACTGCAAGGCTCTTGCCAAAAGACCTCGTCACAGACTCGACCCGGAGGTCAATGTCAGGTGATGCCAGCCGTCTTCGTTCGGTAAGAAGATCAGCCGTGTACATGTCTGTCGCCTCTGTATCGCTGACCGGCCTCTCGGGGCGCAATGAAGGCAAAGCGAAGCCACTGTCCCACCAAATGAGAAGCGCAAACAAGAGAGCAATTTGCACAACCAAGAACAAGATCGGCCCGCCGTACAGATAGAGGGAGTCGTCGCTGTGGCCGTTGCACTTCAACCCAAGCTGCTGAAGACCGATAAATAGCGTCCTTTCCAAGCTCACTACTGGCGATATGATGGCGAGACCAAAGTACAGGGCGTTCATCGTGGATTCCAGTTTTGCGTATGGTGTGGTGGCCTGGATCTCCATCACGCCAGCGAAGTAGGCAAAATAGACAATGACCTGCATCAAGGCCATCAAGAACCAAGCAGTGACCGGCTTCTTTGTAAACATGGAGAAGATGTAGCTGAGTAGCGCGCACGCAATGCCATACAGAAGGAAGATGACGAAGACCAGGCCGAGTCCGTGCCACACGGGGGTCGACATGGAGAGAAGACCTGTAGCAACAGCACTGATTATGACGACGAAGGTACCATCGAAGGCCAGATGGGAAAGCCAAAGTGGCACCGGACGGATCCCGTTGGAGTATTGCATCGAGCGGACGTTTGACAGGCGCTCATCCGTCGGGTATAAGACGAAGAACACTGGATAGCTATTATATGTCAGCTTTGTTGTGCTACTTGCGCGACTGGTTAAAACGTACCAGGCCATGATCAGTCCATAATAAATGATGAACATCGTAGCATCGGAAGCCATGAGACTCGGAATGACAGTACTGGCGAACTCGTTGTAAGAACTCGAGATGCCAACACCACCAGCCATGACGTTGTAGAAGTTCAGCATCTGTTGCATGGCGGCGCCTCCGCTGATGTCGCCCATGATAGTGGGGTTGGTTGAGCTATCGCCCATCCAGATCCCGCCTCTGAGTTCTGTAGTGGGAAAACCACCATCAGAGATGTATCTGGGACGGACAACTAGTTCTTTCCAGTCTTTCTGAACTGCTCGCGCGAATTCTTCGTACGTATCAACTATCAAAAGCTGGTTCTCAAGCTGCGAAGAATTCGTATAACCGGATCGATAGGTGTCAGAGTAACTCAAAGTGTGACTGGTGGAGTAAACGTCTGCCATCAAACCAATCCTCGTTGAGTTGAGTTTACCAGATGGCCCAGCAATGTACGACTTTCGAAGCTCATCCGTGCCAGAGTAATAGGCATTACTGTCTGTGTAGAAAACACCAATGTCGTTCCGATATGCGTTATCGTCAACGAGATCTGCTTGCACTGGGCATCCCAGCGGAGCATCGAACTTCTTGATCAGTAGAGGCGCAATACCTGCACCAACAAGAGCGAAAGCAACGGCGACAAAGTAAGGTAGCCATCGACGTTTGAGGATCTTGACTCTCTTGAGCAACAGAATCCACCACTGCTTGAGAAGAGAAACGGGCTGCCCT